GCTCTGCTTGTTGCCTGGTCACTTCTGATGATTTTAGGCAAATCACTAAGAGCCTGTCTGGGCCTGTGTTCTCCTCCATAAAACAGAAATGTGGACTGAGCTGTGTGCTTCCCCTATACTGTTCTCCAGCTACTTCTGGATGAAGAGGAAGGGAATGGAGGTCTTGAAAGGTGGAAGAGCCATGCTGGTAGTAGAAAACTGGGATTCCAATCCAGGCAGACAGCTCCAAAGCACACATCCTTAATCAGATGCCACACTGGCTCCCAAGGCCAATGATGCCCCAAGCCTCGACGATGGGTAGCACCTGTAGGCGCAGCCCTGGCTGACACCCTGACTGCCCCTTCATGAGAGCCCAAAAACTGGTTTTGGTGGGACACTGAACACTCAATATAGTGATTTCCTTTCATTCTTACCTTGATGCTGAGAGGTGGACATTATTATGATACAGAGATCTTAGGTGGCTTGCTCAAGGTTACCCAGCTACAAGGTGATAAAACAGGGCTTTGACCCCAGTTTTTGTTCATGACTCCAAGGCCATATTCTTCCCACTCTATTGATTGAAGGCGGACGAGTGTGATTTCAGATCCTCTCCTAGAATTCAGTCCTGAACAAAGCAACAACTCTCAGCAGGAGGCTGCTACAATACTTAGACTAGCATGCTGGCTGCCGCAGCACCTCCTGAGAAGTCCTTGCTATTACTTCCCTACCGTGAGTCTAGAAGAGGAATCCTGTGACTCTGTCTGCTTGCTGAAATTCAGATTCAGAATAGTACCCTGACACACTTCTCTACTAACATAGTAATCCTACCAAAACAGAATACACGTCTATGTGACAGCAACTGCTTTTCCTGAGCTGCGCCCCATGCTGGTCCCATGTTCTTCTCTAAGTCCCACAGCCATCTGAATGACTCAATCTTGAAATTTCTCAGGAATCAACAATATATTTATTGGTTTGTACCAAAGTCAACTCCCCCCATTCTTTGAAAATGAAGACACTACTTGACAACCATTTCACTTTATCTTTTGTACTCATGTGACAGAAACAAGTAGGTATGAACCTGTTCCAATAATCTGCAAGTGTATCTTAAAAAAAAAAAAAAAAAGAGGATTAAAAAAAAGACAGCTGCTGGGTGTGGTGGGTCACACCTGTATTCCCAGCACTTTGGTGAGTCGATCACAAGGTCAGAAGTTCAAGACCAGCCTGGCCAAGATGGTGAAACCCTGTCTCTACTAAAAATACAAAAATTTAGCCAGCCATGGTGGCATGTGCCTGTAATCCCAGCTACTTGGGAGGCTGAGGCAGAGAATTGCTTAAACCCAAGAGGCGGAGGTTGCAGTGAGTCGAGGTCGCACCACTGTACTCCAGCCTGGGTGACAGAGTGAGATTGTCTCAAAAAAAAAAAAAAGACAGCTAAGGTCTAATATCTAACTTGTCATCTTAATATTATCATGGTGTATATCTAATATATGTAATTATTCATAGTTGGTATCCTTTTTCCTGGGCAATATGAATAAAAATTATTTAAATACATATAAACATAGATGTATACACACACATATACATAATCTACATCCTATAAGAGTACCATCAACAGTTAGAATTAAAGGGATTTAGTAAAAGAATTGGGAGATAGAAGAAGAGCAGAACAGAAACATGGCATTACTTCATAGCATCTTCCTCAATACTGAACAGCCACAAAGAATTATCAAGTACTGGCCAGGGGCAGTGGCTCATTCCTATAATCCCAGCACGCTGGGAGGCCAAGGCAGACAGATTGCTTGAGCTTAGGAGTTCAAAACCAGCCTGGGCAACATGGTGAAACTCTGTCTCTACAGCAGGATACAAAAATTAGCCGGGCATGGTGGCCTGAGCCTGTAGCCCCAACTACTTGGGAGGCTAAGGTGGAAGGATCACTTAAGCCTGGCAGGTAGAGGTTGCAGTGAGCCAAGAACACAGCACCACTGCACTCTAGATTGGGTGATGGGGTGAGACCCTGTCTCCAAAAAAAAAAGAATTGAGTACCTACAGGACTTGGTAGCCCACAATATCTAGTCAGTTGTCATCTTTAAATACATGATTTTTTTCTTAAATCTTTAACTTTCTCAACAGCAGCTACTTGACTATTAAGAAAAAGTCTTGATTTCAAATCATCTGCAAGATTTCATAATTCACTATTCATGAAGCTCTTAAAGTCATTTGGGGTAGCACCAAATTAAGTTGTTATTCTAGATTCACTTAGTAGGTATGTATTTTTTTTAATAAAGAAAAACGAGTCAGGTTTGCTACAGAGATGAGTTGTAAAGTCTGAGCCAAATTATCTGGCAGTATCCAAACACCTGGTCCCCACAAATGATTACTTTAATGTATTTCTAATGAGGACTGGATTCAGACCAAGATGAAGACACTTAACTCATTAAATAAAATTTATTTGAATTTTCTTAAAAGATCACAAATTTGTAATATTAGTATGAAGAAATAAGCCAAATAGCTTCATTTTTTTCCCCCTAACAGAAATGTTAGCTGCAGATCAGACACAGAAAATACAGCAATTTTTTGGCTGGAGCGGTGGCTCAGGTCTGCAATCCCAGCACTTTGGGAGGCCGAGACAGGAGGACTGCTTGGGGCCAGGAGTTTGAGAATAGTCTGGGCAACATAGGGAGACCCCTATCTCTACAAAAAATTTTAAAAGTATCTGGGTGTGGTAGTGCAAGCCTGTGGTCCAAGCTACTTGAGAGGCTGAGGTGGGAGGATCCCTTGAGTCTGGAAGAGCAAGGCTGCAATGAGCCATGGTCACACCACTGCACTCTAGCCTGGGTGACAGATGAGACCCTGTCTCAAAAGCAACAGCAAAAAACCACCCAAAAGACAACAACAGAAAGAAAACATAGCATTTTAAAAATAGTGAGCTCTATGCTTTTAAAACTCCTCAACTGGAGCTACCTAAATGAAGAATGGGCCCTTTACAAATCCCTGTCTCTGGAGGGTTTAAACCGAGGCTAGATTGGTCCTGGGATTCCTACAGTGGTGAAAAAGTTCTGTCTCCAATGCTATAACAAGGGGAATGCCGTGCACTATCACGAGTGGAGAAGAAAGGGCAGCGTGAACGAAGGCTAAGAGTGGCACCTCACCTCTCACCCAGTTCAACTGTGTAACGCCTACCTTGATGTACACAGCAAACTGGAATTCAGAACCCACAAGTCTAACTCCAGAGTAAATAAAGCATTTGTTAACAATTACTCGAAACATTAAACTATACATTTTCAGAGCTGAGGGAGACCTGGCTCTACACCCTCATTTATATTGGTCAACAATAATGTATTGGGCACCTACTAAGTGCCAGGCCCTGTGCTGGTTCCTTTCCAGGTACAATTTCTTATTAGAATCCATGTGCCTTTTCTAATATGATCCCTATTTTGATGGAAGAACCTGAGACTCAGAATGTCCAACAGGCCAGGCGCGGTGGCTCATGCCTGTAATCCTACCACTTTGGGAGGCCGAGGTGGGTGGATCACTTGAGGTCAGGAGTTCAAGACCAGCTTGGCCATCATGGTGAAACCCATATTAAAAAACAAACAAACAAAAAGAATGTCCAACAAATTGCCCAAGGGTCACAGGAAATGGCAGAGGCAGGATTTGAACCCACACTCCACATTCATTACCACCACAGAGCACCACTCCCATTTCATAGATGACCTGGGGCAGGCCAGTTGTGGACAGGTTCCAGCAGATTTCAGCCAGTGGACTTTCTAGTACCCCAGGCAGCCTTTTGCTACACATCACAGAAGCAGCTGCAATGACTGCTGAGGTTGCTTGGCTGGCAGAAATGGAAGGAAAAAGAAACGGAAGCAGCTGACCAAATGTTCCTTCCGACTGACCATGGAGCTGCAAGCTCTCAGTTGTCTGCCAGCTTCCGGCTGACCAACAGAGAGAAGCATATCTACAATGAGAGAGTAGCAGACACCACACAGCCCCTCTACACTCATTCGTCCTGACTCCAGGCAAGCCAACACACACTGAAGTAGGATCTTCCCTGCACACCTTATCAGTGCCTTAACTTGCCATCACAATCACATCTGCAGCTGCCTGCCTTTTTGATAGACAACGTGCTTGCCCATGAGCACTTCATAAATCATTAAACTATGCTCAGACATGTTTTGACCACAGCTGCTACGTGATCTGTGATCCCCCATTTTTAGCAGCCAGGTAGGAGGCTTCTTAAGGGTCACTCAGCAGCCCTTGCATAGAAGCCACGGCAGGTGCAGACAACGGTACAGCTTCCGAGTTTAAAGATATCAGCACTTGCAACACAGGCAGGCGGACTAACTTGCACCTGCACCTCCGGAAGGCAATGGAAAGAAAAAAAATTCCACGGGGATGACAGCTTCCAGCCCTTGACCTGGTGCTAAAAACAGGGGCCAGGAAGCCCAGCACAGCCCTCTTCCCTGCTCCCCAACACGCCCCTGCCTACTCTCCCGTTCAGGACAATTCAGGCCTGAGTGTGACCCGAATTTGAGTTCTCAAATCCAAAGAGCTCTGAGGAACCTCAATCACAGCGCCAACAGCATTCCATACAACGGGTGGAGGTGCAAGTCCTTCCTGGCCCTTCTCCTCGGAAAACCCAAATCAAGGACGAGGTCTCTTGGGTCTTCCTTTGCCCTAAACACACACGCACTCCTCACACACAACATACACACTTGCTGACCCCACACCCGTGCACACCGCATCCCACACACACATGAACACACTTGCTCACCCCAGCAGGCTGGCCGGCCCCCACAAGGGCCACCTACCAAGTCGCTCACCTGCACACCTGCCCCCAAGTGTACAGCCACTTGCTCCCCCAACGCTGCGTTCCAGCCACCACTACACCTGCCCCAGCGCACACGCACCGGCTCGCCCTCCACCCGCCCCGCCGCCTGCCCCCCGCCCTCCTGACCCCGCTCTCCCGCCCCACGCGCCCCGCGCCCCGCACCCTGCGACCCGCCGCCTTTGGCACTCACCGGCGCCAGCGCCCGCCGCCCCGCGCCGCCCCGCGGCCTGGGGCCCCGCCGCCCCGCTCCGGCCCGCGGCTCCTGGGCTGGCCTGGCCCCGCAGCCGCCGCTTCCCGTCACGTGGGGCGGCCGCCAGGCGCTGGCGGAGGGCGGGAGCGCAGCCGTCCCCGCGCCGCCCGCTGGCCCGCGGGCCCTGCCGCCTGGCTCCGCGCGCAGGCCAAGACGGGCCTTACTCCGGGCCTCGGCGTCCCCCTCCGGGTACAGGGGCCGCGACACGGCCCGCCTCGCGGGGCGGCCCGCGGGCGGGAGGTGTTCATTCGGGGGGCGCTGAGGTCGCCGCGCCCGGGCGAGCGCGCGGTCCGCGCCAGCTGTGGGAGCCGAGGTGTCTCCTCCGCCCCCGCCGCCGCGGGGAGCGCCAGGGAAGCCGGGCTTTGCCTGGCTCGCTCGCCACCCAGTTTCTGACACCGACACAGGAGGAGGGCGCTCGGGAAATACCTGCTGAATGAAGACTGGATGAATGAATCCTGGGACATGCTTGGGCCCGCGGCCACCCGACCACGCAGGATGGAGGCTCGGACGCGTCGCCGGTGCCCCACCAGGAGCTGAAGGAACGGCTGGGATGCGAAGTCCTCTCCTGAGGCGCCCCAGGGCCCCGGGAACTGTCTGGGACCCCTGACAGGCGGAGGCCACCTGCGTGATCCACTTATTTGAGAAGGGAGGCCTAGGACTATCTTCCTCCTTTTAGGAAAACCCAATTGTAGCTTCCTTTGGGTCAGGCCGCAATGAAGAATTGTAGGTTACCAGGAATCCATGAACTCCTCTTCAATATATAGTCAAAGTCCAATTTCACGATGAAAGAATTGGAAAGCTCCCTCCAGAGTTGTCAGTACTCAATTATTAGCATACAGAAAGTCAGGTTTTCCCAGTGATTTTCATACTTTAGGACCTGCTAGTGACCCGTGACCTCAGCTTTCTTCCAGCCAAGCTGCCTGATGTAAAACAAAGATGTTATCCCAAGCCTGAAGGCAGATACTAGATTCTACTCCATGGTCTTCCTTTTCAAAGGGATTAAAAAGAAAGAAAAAAGAAAAAGGACCATCAACAACCTTCCTGTGACCTGTCCCCAACCCCTACTCTAGTGTGATTCATGGCAACATAAACGCCCCATCCCCAGTGCTGCTTCAGCTCTGACCCAATGGAACCAGTGTCAGCGGCTCAGTCTCCAGGTAGGGGACTGGCTTCCCAGGAGTGTAAAGATCTGACCAGCAATTGAGCTTCAAGGGCAAGCAGCAGTGAATGGACCTTCAAGTCTAAGGTGGCCAACAGCTAGTAGAGCCAAACATTGGGAAGGTACAAGAGCAAATCCAGTCTCCTCATTTTACCCAGGGTCACAGGGACTATGTGACTTGTCATCAACTAATCACTGGCTCAGCTGAACCTAGAATTCACCCTTGTGCTTTTGTATTTTAGTCCTCCACCAGATCATGTTACAGAGGTGATATCTACTGACTGCCAGACACTGACTTCAGAAACTGCTAGTGACTGAGCAATGAAGTCTGTGTCACAAATGACAGGTACCTCTATGTAAATGCCTGTACCATAAACGTGCAAACATGTGCATAGGCCAAATTCCTTATATTGTTTCTATTGGTTACATTTAAGAAGAAATATCAGTCATATGGCTTTCAAAGCAATTATTAACTTCATTCTTAAATATGTATTAAATATTCCTTGGGCCCATACCAAGTGTGAATTTTTTGTTTTTGTTGTTTTGTTTTGTTTTGTTTTGTTTTGTTTTAAGATGGGAGTTTCGCTCTGGTTGCCCAGGCTGGAGTACAATGGCACAATCTCAGCTCACCGCAACTTCCGCCTCCTGGGTTCAAGCAATTCTCCTGCCTCAGCCTCCCGAGTCGCTGGGATTACAGGCATGTGCCACCATGCCTGGCTAATTTTGTGTTTTTACTAGAGACAGGGTTTCTCCATGTTGGACAGGCTGGTATTAAACTCCCAACCTCAAGTGATCTGCCCACCTCAGCCTACCAAAGTATTGGGATTACAGGCGTGAGCCACCACGCCCAGCCACGTTGAGTATTTTGTAGAATGTGAAAAAGATGTGTTCCAATGAGAACAACGATTAATGAAGATTGAGTTGCACAGCTATGTTTTCATAGTTGCTGTCCACTCTCAAAATTTAATCTTTACACTTACATATACTCTGTGTTCCTCACTTTCTCACCAGGTATATGTTCAGGAGGGCAAGGATTGTGTCTATGCTCTCTGCTCTATCTTTCTGCATGTAGAAAACATTCACCAATTTTTAAAAATTCTTGATGCTCAATATTTAAATATTGATTAACTAGATTTTTTTTTTTTTTTTTTGATACATGGTCTCTGTCACCCAGGATGGAGTGCAGTGGTGCAATCTTAGCTCACTTGCAACCTCCACCTCCCAGGTTCAAGCGATTCTCCTTCCTCAGCCTCCTGGGTATCTGTGACTACAGGCATGTAGCACCATGCTGGGCTAGTTTTTATATTTTTAGTAGAGACAGATGTTGGCCAGGCTGCTCTTGAACTCCTGACCTCAAGTGATCCACCCAATTGGCTTCCCAAGGTGCTGGGATTATAGGCATGAGCAACCACATCTGGCCTAGATTATCTTTATTTGAGACGGAATCTTGCTCTGTCACCCAGGCTGGAGTGCAATGGCGTGATCTCAGCTCATTGCAACCTTCGCCTCTCAGGTTCAAGTGATTCTCCTGCCTCAGCCTCCCAATTAGGTGGAATTACTGGCACCCATCACCACGCCCAGCTAATTTTTGTGGATGTAGGATTTTACAATGTTGGGCCAGGCTAGTCTCGAACTCCTGACCTCAAGTGATCACCCGCCTCAACCTCTCAAAGTGCTGGGATTACAAGCATGAGCCACTGCACCCGGCCTGCTCAAGTATATTTTTAACACAATATTTTGACACAATATTTGTAACATATTTATAACATAAATATCTTATCAGTATTACATTACCAACAAGAATCTACCCCAGAGTCCTCAGTATAGATTTTGTTCATCATTGCATTCATTCCACAAACATTTATTGAGCACCTACTAAATGCAAGCACTGTGCATGCTAATGGCTAAGTGAGGGATAAGAAGGAAATGTATGGACCCTGTCCCAGAGGAACTCACAATCTAGTGAAGTGGCAATGCCAGGCACGGCAGTGTTTGTTGGTTCCCAACAGCTTCGTTCTTGTCAACTATAGTCACCAAATAAAAATGTTAGTGAATAAAACCTTAGGATCTGTGAGTGAAGTGAAAATCCTTATAGTTAGCTTAACATGTTGAGTGCCTTAGGGTTAGATGATAGTGTAGCAGGAGGAACCTTAGGTCTGCAAACTCAAATGTGTAACAAAGATATTTTCTTTTCTGTAATGGAAACTTGTTTCTATTTGAAACCTCCATTTACCTACAGTGACAATAATCTTAGCAACGGGAAGCCCTCTTTCTTTCTTTCAATTTGAAACCTCCATTTATCTGCAGTGACAATCTTATCAATGGGAGGCCCCACCCCTTTCCCCAGTGCTATATCCAGACTCAGGAGATTTCTGAAGTGCCAAGATGAGAAGAGAGAGACTGTAGGTCCTTGTGTCACTGGTCTCCACAGAAATTCTGAGATATTCTTTGTCCACTATAGTGTTTGGTTTTCAGTCTTTTGGTTTCAGGCTCGAGGGTTAGAGATACCTGTGAATTCAATTTCCATGTGGTATGGCAGAAATCACTGTGAGGCAGCCCTTCTGCCTGGACATATTTGAAGCATCACCTCAGAACTTGTTAGAAATGCAAATTAAAAGGTCTCCGCACCAACCTCCTAAATCAGAAAGTTAGCAGACTGCAAATTCTCCAATGTTCCATGCTACAAAGGGTCTGCCCAGGAAAGAGTGGGCAGGCATCACCAAACATTCTCTCCTCCCTTGGAAGAGACAGGGTATGTAAATCTCATTCAAGTTCCTCCTCTCCTAATCGCGACTTTTTTTTCCTCAGACAACACTCCTTCTATCTCAAGAGTTCTGCTTTACAGGCACCTAGAATAATATTAATAGAATTAGTTTTAACCAAGGAAGTACTCTTAGTTTTAAACTGGGAAGTACTGGGGGGAAAAAAAGACATCTTACCTGACACAAAACATTTCTGCAGATGAAGTTTGAGGCTTCAGGTTAGGCGATGGGTTCAGAAACCCACAGAGAGAAAAAAGCACAGCAATAACCTGTAACCACTTTTTCAGACTATTAAACTCAAGGTTCTTCCCTCTCATGTCATTATCCTGCCACTTCTTTCCTTTGATGACAATCAATAGGATACAATAAATCTCCAAGGAGAGCCAACAGAAGAGGCATTTTATAAACTAAATCCAATCCTCAAAACACTGCAAGATGGCTTATAATTTCCATCTCAGAGGGAAGGAAGCTACAGCTGGAGAGTATATGTCCTAGGTGATTAAAGAAGCCAAGGTTATAATCCAACTCTGAGTCACTCCAAAGCCTGCCCTTTCCTCTCTTATATGACCATTAACTTTATAAAAACCAGCTGCCAGTTCTTAAACTTACTCTGTGCCAAGTGTGTTTATAATCTCTATAATCTCCACTCCTTTGATCATTCTTCACAGAAAGTGTTAACACCACATTTTCCTGATGAGGGGACTGAGGCTGAGAAACTGAGTAACTCACCCAAGGTCTCAGTGCAACAGAGTAAAACTTGAAATGAGGTGAGGTTTCTAGCCCAGGAGTCTTCCAAGGTAGCTGTTTTTGATACTAAAACAATGTGCCTCCCGGGGAAGGAAATGGGGATAATAACAAATCACACTTATTTCACTGCTGTAATGAAAATAAAATCATATTTGAGATATGGAATATCATGATGTTAATACCATGACACTAATACATTTGACTCCAATTTAAGACACTCAGATGCCTGCCTTGGCCCAGACCTAGGACTGTTCAGTTTTGGGCAAGTCATGTAATCTCTTTCTGATCAGCTTTCTTGGCACTAACATGAAAGAACTGGACTCAGAAACTTTTTAAAGTTTCCTCTCAGATCTGAAATTCAGTTTCTAGACATAAAATATTACATACATAAATGGTTAAGAAAAATTGCAAAACAGTTCTTAGCTTTTTTTTTTTTTTTTTTGAGGATCTCACTTCTAGTCCTCTTTCAAGGTTTATCTTTTGGCATCCTCAGAGTTCTTCATATTTTTGTAGACAATGCAATAATCTCCAATAAAATAATATATCATAGAGGATGCATGCAATAAACATTCAGAACCTATCTGCAAGTTTTATTTTTATTTATTTTTTCAGACATGGTCCCACTCTGTCGCCAAGGCTGAAGTGCAGTGTGGTGATCCTACCTCCCTGCAGGGTGGAAGTGCCGGGCACCAGTGATTCTACCACCTCAACCTACCGA